AAGTTGCTCTAAACTAAAACACACTAAACTAATTAAAACTATAACTAATTTAACGCACTTATAGAACAAAAAAAAATCAGAAAATTTACTGCAGAAAAAATTCAAGCAACAATTTTTGAAAAAAAAATTTTTAGAAAAAAAGTTCTGGCGTGTATTAACCCAGGAGACCATAAAAACATTCAAAAACTTCACCAGGAAGAAAAAAGGTTAAAAATTCTACCAAAGTTAATACAGAACTAAACATCCGGCAATTAAGCCGACAAAAATTGGGTCGAAATCATAAAAATTGACTAAAAAGTCATTTTATTTCTGAAAGTTTTTCAGCTGCATACCAATTAATTTTTCAGAAGCTCTAAACCAGTCAGAAATGAAGATTGTAAAACTGTTAATCCTGTACACAAAAATTTTTATGGGAAAAAAGTATAATTGCAAGGGTAAAAACCACTTAATAAATCAAATTTAATCGATGCCAACAAACGTGAATTCTACGTAAATCACTGATACAATAACCAACAATTTCTCAGAATCGAAAACACTGGTAGTGAGACCACAAAATACGCACTAAACTTAGACACTTTTTAAAAGGAAACAATAAAAGTTACATGATAACTCTTTGAAACTACATCAATAACTACTATTTTACTAACAAATAAAGAAAACCTGTTTTAAATTCGAATGTATAAAAAAAAATTTTAAATAAATTCAGATATTCAACAAACTGAATCTTCGCGAATCGGTTGTCAACAATTTCCAGATCTAACACATCGTTTAGAAAATTTTACGCAACAGAACAAAATTGTTCAAGTTAATTACCTATGAATTAAAATGATCATAGGCACAAGGAGAGACCAGCTCACAAATAGTTATGGCAGGAAATTGTAAAAAAAAAATCTTTTATCTTTCTTGAAACTAAATTCGATCAAATAGTAGCAAATTTTAAAAAACTAAGCGCACTCAACTAAAATATTTAGCAAGGATGAAAACCATAAATATCGAAAACCTATACAACAATCTTCTTCCAGTTTTATTACTAACCAAAAAGGCTAGTCTTACAATTTTCATATATGGTAAAATCCTAGTCATACACTTTTCATGCTTTTCCAAAAGTACAGAAAGTTGCCTGAATGTATATGACTAGTGATTTTTCATATATGGAAAATGTGTGTCCAGCATTTTTCGATAAACCAAAAAAAAATGATTTTTTGAATTTATTTTTACAAAATTTTTTGGTTGCGTTTGTTATTGAGCATAAGTAACGAAAATCTCGGTAAAAATAACAGACGTAACAAAATTAGGAGTCACCAAAAGTTTGACCGTCTTGCCTTTATAAAACATCGAAAACTTCTTGAATTTTTCTAGATCTGTCGTAAACGAATCATTCATATGCTGAAAGAACCAAACATTAAGAATTCCTCAAATTTTTTTTAAAGATGATCATTTTCAAAAATTGATTTTAAAAAGTTAATTAGACATTGATCAAGGCATTCAATAAGATGCCATACACTAGAAATAAGATTTTAAGGCGTTTCTGAAAAAAATTTATCCAGAGAAACGGAAAAACATCCAACTTTTGTAAACCGTAATACGTTATACACATTTAAAAAAATTTGCATGCAAGAACTTGTTTTGGAAAATGTTTGTTTGAGTACAAAATTCGTTTTGCGGTTAAAAAAAAAAAGTTTTAGGGGCAATTTTAATTTGACCATAAAAAAGCTAGCCGTACAATTTCCATATATGGAAATTGTATGATCAGCGTTTTTTCTGATTTCTGGTAAAAAAGCTTTTTTTCTTTTTTGCTTCGTACAATGCACTGACTTTTATGCCAAAACAGGAAAAAAGTTCTTTGAAAATTCGTTGACACCATTTTAGCACACCATTTTTTGATGTATATAGTTTGTATGACTAGTTCTTTGCATAGAATTAGTTTGAGTTGTGGCAAAAAAAAAACTTTTTATATAACTTTATACTCTGGAAAAATTGTTTATCTTTCTGTTTTCACACTGTTTTTGGTTCCTCATTTTTTGGCTCAGAAATTAGTATCAAAATAGTAAAACTTGAACTTGAATTTGAAAAGCATAACTTCTGAAAACCTATCCGACACCAAAGGAAACACGTTCAAATTCTCACCACAAACTATGCTAACAATTGCACGTATTCTTATAATCGATTGTAAGCATAGTTTTTGAAAATCAAAGAGGATGCTCAATTCAACACATTACTTGTTCAAGCATACTTTGAGAATAATTGAAACATTAACAAACCACACAAAACCTCTGTTGAAACATTTAACAAATAAAAAATGTCAATTTAGTTTTCATTATTTCTAGTTTTTTGCTATAACGCTTGCCGTTCAGACTTTCGAAAAAAATTTCGGACAATTTTTTCCTCGATGTAAAAGTTTTTCTTCAGGCAAAACTCAACTGTGGGTAATTATTCTAAGTGTAATTGTGATTTGAAAGATGTCAATTCGGTCAGTTTGAGACAACTAAGGTGCAATGTAGTATCCGTGCTTTTAACGCGTAAGCCGAGACTCGACCCGGCCTCAAATATTTTGCAAACTTAACATAGGCTAGCAATTATTTTCATTAGTATAGTTTTAAAATTGTTGAATTTGAATTCAACGGAAAAAAAAAAACATTTTAAAAATTGGCTTTTTTTCTCCGATTAGTCGTAATTTGACATGATATAAATTCAGCCAAAAAATTTTAATAATTAATTTAAATTATAAGGACCCAATCTGTTGAGCAAACGTTGGCCCGAAAACTGTATTCCTAAAATGCGTCTTTTTGTCAGTTCTTAGTTAATCAAATCATTGCTAGAATTATCTTGTGGTGTGCAGACCAATTTATGTTAAAGTAGACCCCATATGAAGACCAAAAAAATATGAGGCTTATAATGTCTAGAAATTTGAATGAACCACTACAACTGAAACATTATTAAAAGAGACAAAACCTCAATTGAAACATTCATCAAAAAAAAACACATCAAAATACTTTTCATCCATTCTAGTTTTTGCAATAGCGCTTACCGTTCAGACTTTGGAAAAAATTGATGTACAATTTTTGCTGGGTCTAAATTTTTCTTCAGGCAAAACTCACCTGTAACTCATTGTGATAAGTGTAATTGTGATTTGAAATTTGTTAAATTGGCCAGTCTGAGACCCCTAATGTGCAATAAGGTTTCCGTGCTTTTAACGCGTTAGCCAAGATTCGATCCGGCCTAAAATAGCTTGCAGAGGGAACTTAAGCTAGCTGTTCATTTTATCAAAATAAGTTCAAATTTATTGAAAATAAATTGAACGCACAATAATTCTTTCAAATTGGCTTTTATTAGTCGCACATTCACGAAAACTATTTTGAGCGAATATTAATAATTAAGTAAAGTTAAACGGATGCATTTTTTTGAGCAAAAGTTGGCCCGAAATTTTATCCCTAAAACGTGTCGTTTTTGTGAGTTTTTTAGTCAATCAATTTACGCTAAATTTATCTCTCGTCGAGTTTATGTTAAAATAGGCCCATATTTAGACCAACAAACATTAAGAAGCGTATAAGATCTCGATTTTTGTATGAACAAAAATGTTTTTCATCCAAATTTGTGTTTTATAGCAAAGAAAATAAATTTACTTCATCAAATACAAACTCTTAATTTGAAAACAATTTTTAAGGTTTATCACAATTTTTTAGAAATCAAACCCTCTGTAAAATTTTTTGAGGCTACAAGAGAGGTTTACTTTGAGGAAGAGTGCTTAGCAAATGAACCAGTAGGTGGTGTAGCGTTTTTTTAGGTGGTGTAGCGTGTTAGTTAGGTGGTGTAGCGTGTTAATGGGAAATTGGGAGAAACTTAAGCATCAATTTCCCATTAACACTCTATTTTGACCCAATTTTCTGGGTCGCATTCAAATTTTTGAAAAATGGGCCGGAAAACTACGTTGTTTTGGCGCAAATTCCCCTCCAAATTGGTGTATATTTAATTTCCTTGAGACTGTTTCAATTGTTTGAACTTAAATTAAACGCACAAAATTTTTAGCAACTGGCTTTTTCTCAGATTAGTCGAAATTTGACATAAGGTAAGCTGAGTGAATGATATTTAAAAATAAACTAAAAATATAAGGATACAATTTTCTGAGCAAATGTTAGCCCGAAATCTTTGTCCTTAAAATGTGTAGTTTTTGTGCGTTTTTAGTCAATCAGATCTACGCTAAAATTATCTTGTCGTGTGCAGATCAGTCGCTGCTGTACAAAACAGTCCCACAAAAAACAGTCCACTAGAAAACAGTCAGAAAAAATATGAAAATGAACGAAAAAACAGTCCGAAAAACAGTCCCAATTATTTATTGTTATAACAAGCCGGCACGCCGAGAATTGTCTTTTGTTTTACAAACATAATGAACAAAATAGTGACCGCTGCAGTCGCGCCAACGTGTTGCGAGCTTGCCAACAGAGGGTAGGATTCAAAACGAAAATAAGAGCCGTTATCGACCTTAAACCGGACTGTTTTGTATCGGACTGTTTTTTTCCTCCGTTGCATGATTTTTTCGGACTATTTTGTATTGGACTGTTTTGTATGGAACTGTTTTGTATATGCACCAGATCAGTTTATATTAAAGTAGGCCCTATATGTAGACTAACAAAAATTATGAAGCGTATAAGGTCTCGAACTTTGTATGAACGAAAAATGCATGTCGTAAAATTTTACCAAAGGCCCACCATTTTCCCCCCTAAATTACCCCTAAATCCCTCCAATCCCCCCACCCCAAAGACCCCCCCCCCCAAATCTGCCCTTGTCTGCATATGAGTTGTTTTTTACTTGGGTTTTAATTTGCAATTCATACAAAAACAGAAGTTATCACGTAGATTTGAAATTTGAGGTTTAAACTTGACTTCTCGTGTCATTCAAAATTGCGCTTATCTGGAATTTTTGAACTTTAACAGAGCGCGGCCTCCGAAGAACTAAGATGTCATTCAATTCGTAAGGTGAATGCACTTTGTAAATTACTGTTATCATCATTTTGTATTCGTGATCTAATTTGGCACCATCAAACATGATCCAAAAGATCTTCTGAAAAGATTTTCAATTCATTCTAAGAGCGAACTTGTCTCAATAACAGTTCAACGACTTTTCAGCGAATTTTTCTTTAAGCAATGAACGGATTCAAATTCGGTCCTTTTGACGAAAATCCTCTGGTCTTTGATAAGGTAAATTTAGAAATTTGGTTTTTCACCACAATTTTTGCCGAAAAATGGATGACGGCAACATGAATAGACCGAGGAGTTTTCCCTTTTATCTGATCTGCTTTGATTACATTTTTTCGACTGAAGAATTTGACGACGCGACTAATCAAATATTAATACTTGTCATATTTACGCTAATAATACATATTTCTTTTTCATTTACACGAGTAATATAGATATTTACTATTTACTAGTGAACACTTAATAAAAATTTTCCAAATATTTAACATATTAATATTTAAATTTTTTCCAAATATTTATCACACTAAATCATTTATACGCTAATGTTTTTGTATTTCTGCTCCTTGTTCTAGGCTTTCGTGGGAGGAAAATGGGTGGACTCATTATGTGGAGACACTTTCGAAGTCATCAACCCAGCCAATGGAGAAGTACTCGGGTAAGGAAAAAAAAAACTCGTTATGCTCGTTATTTCACAGAAAAAAAAACCAGAAATGATCCGGTTGCTAGCCATTTGTCTCAAATGAAGAGTTAAGCGACTATTTTTTCTTTTTTTTTCAGTAATTTTGACACTGAGACAATTTTAGAAACTTCTACCTCAAATGATTTTTAAATCATTTGCAATGAAACTGAAATAACTAACAATGAAACCAAATGAAACGACTGCAATGAAACCAAAACTAACATTAAAAATATTGATATGATCAGCACGAACATTTTTTTGCAAAGCGAATGGATCAACGTGCAATAGTAACTAGGTCGAATACCGAAATTCATTAAGTCGTTACCTTCGCGATCCAAAAAAGTAGGCCGGATCACTTTGCGCGACCAAAAATATAAAAATCTCGACTTTTTGCGACCGATATTTTTAACGAGACTTGCTCAACAGAGAAAATCCGAAGCAATTTTTGCAGTGCAAAGACTTAGGCGCGACATCAACCTAAAAGTGAATTACTTTTTAGCCAACTCGATTCGCGGTCAACGCGTTAAGCAAATAATTTAAGCATTGCGCAATAACAGTCATAATTCCAACAATGGCTAATTGGTAGTTCCCACAAACTTTAACTTCACAAATCACGATGGACTTTTTTTTATTTTGACTCACTTCGTCCACTTTTTCAGTTTTTTTTTCAGCAATAAATGTTTGTGAGCCAGATTTCGACGTATTTGAAGCATGTCTTTTAAGGTTTATGGAGCAGTAATAACATAAATATCATTAACATATTAAATGTAATAAAATAAAATGAAAATTTATTTTTCTAAAATTTGAAATCTTTTCTACAAAAATCATCCCCCACACACCATAAAAAGTACAAAAAAATAGATTTCGCTCCTTGTATTAAATCAATTATGGCAAAAAAGCTTCCTGAAACTAACTTGGAACGATTTCTAAGACGGATTAAACATCCGCTAACGCGTTAATAGCGCGAAATATATCTTAAGTTGCGCTGAATTTTGTCAACTAGAGTAATTTTAATTAAAAAGCTGTGTCTGTCAAATTTTTCACATCTCAAAACAATCTCAGTTGATTTTGCTTGAACAAAAATTCACTGCGTAACTAATTTCTAGGAAAATAATTAAGACATGGAAAAGGTATGATGAATATCTTGGCCAAAACTCAATGCATGAAATATATTTGTTAAGCTTCAACATAATTATTTTTCATCCTAAACAGTATACTAAATCAACAATCAACGTCTCAAAGCAATTTGCTCCCACCGCCACGTAGTTGAGTTGTTTTGAAATCATTTCTCTGGAGTGATCAAAAAGTGAGTAGCTTTTCCACACACACACACATACACTCACACACCCATACGGGGTTAATTTTTGTACAATGATGAAAAAAGTATATATTATTCTAACACTACGACCATTAAACTACCGAAGCTTAATTTGAAATATCTTTGAGCCAGTTTGTTTCAACTATGCTAAAAAGTTGCCAACGCGAGCAAAAAAGAACCAAGTACACATAGACACAACTTGCACGTAAAAAAAGGGATATAACTAACTATACTAACTTTGCGCCTAATAATTTGGGAAGCATAAAACAAAATTAAGTATAGATTATTCATTTCAAAAAAAAGTGCGAGATTTTTAGCTGAAAATTTCTGGAAGGAATTTTTACTATTGTACTATTATTTGAAACGAATAACTTTCTTCGGTTCACTCAATGAATGAAAAATGCATTAGCTCTCTCAGCTTCTTACTAATCGAAATTACAAGCACATGCTATCAAAAAGCAGTAAACGAGCCCCAAAGTTACTAACATTTGCAAATTAGGCTGAAAAAATAGATTAATTTGACTGTTAAACTATGCTCGCTAAAGCGCGCAAATGGAAACTAAAAACATTTTGTACAACAATACAACTTTTTTGTCATTTTGGAAGTTAGTGAATTTAATTTCACAGAGTCGAGAAAAACCAATTTAAAATTTTTGATTTTTCGTTGTGTTTCGAGCGAATAAAGCGAGCGTGATGTCTTATTTCATGTCGAATATCGAATATAAATAATTCCTTACTTTTTTCAGCTCCTTTTATCACAATGCGCCGAAAAAAAACAATAATTTTAAAAACGTTGCTATAGTTTTCAAGACCACCGTCGGAACATTTTGTGTTACTTGCACAGTAACAGGCTATCCTTGTTGCACTCTGAAATCACTTGATTAAAATTATGAAAAACTTCTCCACCAGATACCACTTATTTCTCTTTAGGTTTGTATGTCTTAACATAGAAACATGGGCCAATTTGAGACAACGATTGAGCACTACTTTAATAAAAAATAACAACAAGTTTGCTTAAGCCTCCGAAAAAAAAAACAATAACTTAAAAGCACAATATGTTACACAAAGTTTTATCAAACTTTAAGGAAAAAGACCTTGTTAATAATGCTAAAAGATCTAGGTCAACCATTTGTCCAAAAGGAAAAACGAGCTAAAAACTCTGGGTAAAAGATGCTCAAAAACGCAGACTGTCCTTTTTGATTCATTCTGTCTGTTCCAATTTTTTGGCGCCTCTCAATATAACTAGCTATGTCTAAACAGTTGGAAAATGTTTTAACGGAGATTTAATTTTTAAAAGCAATTTATTTTTTTGTTAGTTTTCTATGAGATAAACATGAGTCCTCAAGCTTGCCCGAGACATCACTAAGAAAACCAAAAAAATGCCTACACCTAATCTGTTTTGACCTAGATTTTTTGAAAACACAGGTCAAAAAGGCGTTTTAAGCCGGTTTTTATAAAAAATTTTGGCCAACCTCCTTGCGTTTTTTTGGCACTTGCTCCCCGTCAGTACATATAGTACATATTAAAAATTTTCATCTAATTGATCCGCTACAGGTCTTAAGGTTGTCTGAAACATCAAAAATGCGCGACAAAATGCAACTGTTGTTCTTTTTCAAAACATAATTTCTGTTCAAAAGTTTTGCACCTCATCTATCTATTATTTAAATGAGCGAGCAATTTCCAGCCATGTTTAAGAAGTCTCTACCTTGACATTTTACGCATGTTTTAGCTACAGTCTATATTTCTACAGCTATGCTGTGCAAATAGGTTTAAACGCTACTGCTAACCTGCGCTTTTCATCAAGCATCGGTTTTGTGCATAATCTTATTGTTTTTATTTAAGCATGCATATTTGAACTAATTGATGCTTTGCAAGGATGTTTTGTTTCACTTTTTTATACCATTTTTATGAAAGATAAGCCCGGGTTATTTTTTGATGCTTGGTGATAATTTTTTGATGCTCTGCTGCATTTCAGACTCATTTTACTAAAACTACTCTTGGTTTTGGGCTTCAGTTTTCGTTTTGAAAGCTGAATCCCAGCTTGAATTTGTTCATTAGTTGCTGCCGCATGGGCTCAGTTATGTGTCCACTACCTCAAATGCCTCCATATTCCTCTGCGGGTTTTATGGAGGCTACAAGTACATGGCACAGCTGGTAAAAGCAGTAACCGTAAAGTGAACAATTTCAAGAAAGTTGAATGAACCGGCTACGAGTCCAACGACAAGCGAGTTTTCGAGTCAAATTTTACTTTAACAGAGAGATTTGTGGCAGGAAACTGGTTGAACTTACCTTTTCAAACATGTTTTGTGAAGAGCACCGAACCACAAAAGGATGTGTAACGTCAGGGTTGCCATCAGCAGCTTTCTATAAAAAGTATTTAAACTGAATTTTTTTAAAATTCAGTTTCTTTGTTTCCAGTTACTTTACTTTTTCCTTCAACATCTACTTTTGTTAATTGAGTGATTCATTTTGTCCAGTATTGAATGATTTGGGATTGAGATAAACCGTTAACCAATCAATTTGTTGAATTTTTTCGTTTGTGAAAAAGCAGTAATTCGTTTATTAGAACTTTTCAAAAAAGTTCGCAGCTGTTGTTAATGAGTTTTTTCCCTTTATTTGTTACTTTCATGTATTTAACAAACTGCTATGCAGTAATTTCTTCTATTCGTTTTTTAAATTTGAATAAAGCTAGTAACTGGTTACTTCAGTTGTTTTCTTCTCTAAAGCGTTGCACTGATTTGTTTTTTAATTTTAATTTTTTTGTGTTTTTCACAATTTCTGGTTTGAAGCCAAATGTTTTTTTTCTATCTCAATTTTGTATTTTTCTCATTTCGAGTCTCCATCGAGTGTTGGTTGATACTTTTTTTAAATTGATTTTCTGAATTTTTGAGTTGGCTGATTTTTTAACTCATCATATAAATTGTACAAAAGACGCCCGCTAAGTTTTGGCTCTGATGATATCACTCTTATGCTTTTGTTTTGTATGAGCCGTTGAGTTTCTGAGTTTTTTCTGATGTTTTAAAAAACGATACCCGGTACTTGACTCGGTATGATCCTCTAATTTTTGGAAATCGTTTTACGATTGTATCAAGATTCGAGCTTTGAAAAATACAAATTTTTGAAATTCTGCTAGTTGTTTAGAAAAGTCCTTCGTTTGATTCATTTATGAAAAAACATTTGGAAAAAGTTAGGGTTATGTTCGAAATCTGATTGATTTTTTTTGTATCATCTGTGTATCGCTGAATCAGCCTTATCTCCAGGTCATATCCTTATCCTATAGAATAGATAACCGGTAATTTTTTATTTCTGTGTGAAATACTGCTTTTCAAATTTTTCGACAACAAAACTTAATCGATTTATGATTAATCGTCCTACTCTTATGTTGCTGTTTTCTTGTAAACGCTTAGTGTGTCTAATTCACTATTTTAACTGTTTTAAACCTTTACTGCTGGAGCAACTTATTTTCTGGAATTTTGGTGATATATATGTAACTTTTCGAAAAAGATTGTGTTTTATGGAGCTTTCTTCGAAATATGTTCAATAAAGTTTCTGTAAAAGACTAATTTTACCCACTCTGATCAATATTTTGAGCTCTGCATTAAATTTTGCCTTGAGTTTCTTGATGATAAAGAAGTTCTGCATTAAATTTTGCCTTGAGTTTCTTGATGATAAAGAAGTTGTGACTTGAAATCTCACAATATTTTTCACTGATCAATTTTTTTTAGGTGTTTTTCTAGCCTAAAAATTAGATAATCATTTAGAATGCAGAAAATTCTGCAGTGGATTGCCAGTTGATATTTATTTGTGTAGATCAGTTCCTGACATGGATGAGGTTGACACTTTGGAGGCGATTGAGAGAGCACATAGAGCTCAGAGGGAATGGGGAGAGAGTACTTTGAAGGAGAGAAGTGGTCTGCTTAGGAAGCTGTTCGGCCTGGTGGCCACCAACACCGACCACCTCACCCAACTTGTCACTCTAGAGGGGGTAATGTATGATAAAAAATGGTACTTGGGGGGGGGGGGGGGTGTTGGTAATCCCATCTCAGAAGGACTGAATGCGAATTATTTCACTTGACCATTCTAATATTTCTAATATTTTTAGTATTTTTGGATAGCGCTTTCGAAAACTTTTAAAGTTTCCACAAAAAAATTACCCAAATTTTTTGAGCCCCATTTCCGCTAAAACTGCTTTATCTGCTCCTGATTGCATGAGCTGGGTTTTTTCTAAGCATTTCTCTAAGCACACCAAACTGTCGATTGAAATTTTTTTTCAGAAGAAAATTGGCGAAATGTTATTTAAATAACAAGTGTGCGTGTGTGTGAGTAGGGTAAGCCTCTATCTGACTCTCGGGGGGAGATTGTGAAGGCGAATGTGTTCCACGAGTGGTACTCGGAGGAGGCGAAGAGGGTGGGAGGGGAGTGCATGTTGGGGGTGCAGAAGAAAGACAGCCAACTGCTCTTCCTCAGGCAGCCAATCGGAATCGCCGCCCTCATCACACCTGTGAGTTAACAGTACTTACAAGCCAGTTTTTACTTTATTACAATTTAAAAAGCTAATTTTTACAAATCAGATTCAATCGGAATCGCCGCCCTTGAAATTCCTGTGAGTTGTTATTATGTACACAGAGGCAAACCAAAGGTTCACAAAAAATGCGATACGAAACAAACATAGCCTAGCAATTTATTGAGCATAAAATGAAGGAAAACTGCTGTCGAAAAAATTTTAAAAAATTTTTGAACAAAAAAACTAGATCTACCATTATTTTCATATATTTGGCGTAATTTGTTATGAAAACCTCATTTTGAGAAAAAAAAAGCATCGCAACAAAAGTTAGGAAGCGATAACAAAGCCCACAGTACTTGAGAAAACACCCGTTGAGCTGAAAAAATGTTTTCTCAAAAAACTTCTCCTTCAAAACATACAAAGTCCCATCCTTCAAAACATACACACTCGTACTCAGGAAAATTGTTTGCTCATACGATGCCCAAAGATGCTATGGAACCGATATAATATAAGCCGAAAGCTTTGAAACCGATAAAGTAGAAAAAAGATTTTAAAAAAAACAAAAATGAATACCCGGGTTTTTTAAAAGAACGGGTATTTTAAAAGCTGAAAAGCTCAAAATTCGTCTATTGATTGACAAATGTACAGATTGGAAGATCCTGTGAACAACGATATTTACGGGGGGGTGAAAGTCTAGTTCTCACATTACGAGACCAAAATGTGCACTGGATAGGCGCACAATTTTGTGTCTGTATGTTCCTGGATTCCAGAGACAAATCTTTAAACATGTTTCAAAATGTAAGTGGAATCCACTTACAAAAACTTCGTGGATTCCGCGAACAAATACCTGTAACGTATATTTTGTCGGCGCATTTGTTTTGTTGCGGATTCAGCAACAATAAAAAATAGCTAGTCGTTTTGGGTTCCGCAACTGTAAGTGGATTCCGCAAAATGTAAGTGGAATCCGCAAAATGTAAGTGGAATCCGCAAATTTAAGTGAAATCCGCAAACAAAATGCGGATCCCACTTACAATTTGCGGATTCCACTTACAATTTGCGGATTCCACTTACAATTTGCGGATGCTACTTACAATTTGCGGATTCCACTTACAATTTGCGGATTCCGCTTACAGTTGCGGATTCGGCATACAAATTTTGCGAATTCGACTTACATTTGCGGATTTCACTTACATTGTAATGTAAATAAACATGTCTTATTATTTGTTTGTGGATTTCACAAATTGTTCTGGATTCCGCAAATACAGTTGCGGATTCCGCAAATTTGCCTATTTTTGGAGCAATTTTGAATGGTACAGTCTTTTATGTATTTGTTTGTGGAATCCAAAACAGCAAAGAAGATTAAAGAAAAGTAGCAATGTTGCGGATTTCGCAACAAATCTGATTTTGACCTGTTGCGGAATTCGCTTACAATGCACAGAATGCCCAGTTTGGTTTCGTAATGCGGTTGCAAAACCCTTGTTTATCGCAAATGTAATATCACTTCATCGCTTAATATAAGATAAAATACAAAAAATTCATAACAAATAAGACCTAATCGAATAGGTCGCCCTGGTCACTCCTGTGAATTGATAAAATAACAACCCATTTATCACTACATTTGAAATTACAAAAAAACTTTGTAGCAAAAAGATCCAATTGGAGTAGCCACCCTCATCATACATGTAAATTGATAAGGTTTGTTCGAGTTATTACTTAATTATGATTTTGAACAGTAGAATTGATAAATTTAGTCTTTTTATTACAAACCTGGTTAAATTTAATTCACGGAAAGTGATGATCGTACAACTCAATGGGTTTGTGACTTTACATACCTTTGGGAGTTTACGGAAATGCTTTCACAACTTCATTGGAATCTATGGAAAACTGCTTTTATACGACTTCCATAAATGCAATTGATTGAATGAGCATTGTTACATGGCACCAAGAAAATACAGTTTACAAAAATTTGAAAAAAACTTGAAAATTTTTCGGGAAATCATTCTATGCTCAAGCTAATTTTTTTCCGAAAAAAATAATTACTTTCACGCATGAGTAAAAAAAGTACAGAATTAACTTTTCAAAAGATTTTCAACCACTAGGTTTTTTGAAGTAAAAGCTTCATTGCGGCTTCATTTTCAAGTTACTATTTGGTTATTTTGAGTGAAAACAAATATGAAACTTAATAGCAAAATTCTGAATGCTGTTTACAGGCTAAGTTGTTTTCCTTTAACCAATGGTATTTCTTATTAGAGAAAACAAAGGTTATTTTTTTGACAAAAACTCAAAAAACTAGTATTCAGATAAAAAGCTGCTCAAACATTGTTTTTTGTGTAGAAAACTATTTGGCTGAATTTTTTTTGATTTTTTTTGCACCCATAAAGACATTAAAATTGTTTGACAAGAAGCATTTTAAAATATGAAAATTGTATGATTAGAACAGTTTAGTCAATCTGGGTAATTACAAGAAGAAACAGTTTTTTACGAACGACAGTGAATGTAATAAGTCGCACATATCGAACGGGTTTTTGAAACTTGTAGTTCACAATTCTTATTTTACAAATACAAAAAAAAAACTGTCAGTTTATTACTAAGTTGAAATCGGCTCCCTCATCGCATTCTGGCGTATCGGTAGTGATGATTCCCAGCAAGCGTATGGTTGAAAGTTCGAACCGACCATGCGCTGATATTTTCAAGGCGTGTTCTTTTCTTGTAATAGCTTGATTAAACTTGCCATAGCTTGATTAAACTTGTAAATTAGCCTTCGGGCTAGGCCTGTGGCTCATACAAAAAACATCTCCTAGTCATTATTATTCTTTTATTTTGCAAGAAAGTCGAATTTTTACTTTTCTGAAAATTTCGTAAAATATAGAATATGATCTTTTATAAGGTGACTACCCTACAAACTTGTTAAAGAAAAAAAAACTAAAAAACTATAGGTAGTCAGGGGCGGACGCCCCCCTTTCAGGGATTCGAACCCTTGCCAACCCAAAGGGTCCCCCTTTGGTACTTTTTAAGAAATCCATTTTTGGCCGACCGACTCTAAATTTTTTCTAAAGGCACCTTCAGCGCCAATATATACTAATTTTGAGGGGGAGCGCGCGCCAAAAAAAACGCTTTTTTTGTCAAATATTTCAAAAGTGCCCAAAAACGGCTTTTTTGACCTGTTTTTTCAAAAAATTGCCTGCGGCGCAGAAAATTTGGCCAAAACAGGGTCTTTTTACTGCTTTGGGAGAGCTCGGAAAATCAATCTGATCGACCTAAAAAAAAAGGTCGTCAAAATTTTCAAATTTTTTTTGAAAATCCGCCCCCTCGAGAAAATCCTAGATCCGCCCCTGGCTACTGTGTTTCTTGGAATTTCAATTTAGCTCATGTGCTTTCTGTTTAGTTCTGCGTAAAATATGTTTTGCTTATTCACTAATAACTTGAGTTATTGATTTTCCTCTGCGTCAGTGAGGCTTAAAGAATGTGGGTAAAGACTGTTTTCAAGGTGAAATTAGAATAAAAAAAGATACAACACTAAATTGAATGAGGTTTGATGTTTGCTACATTTCATGTCGCTTTCCAGTGGAACGCGCCCCTGCAGATGATCTCGCGGAAGGCGGCCGCCGCCCTGGCTGCGGGTTGCTGTGTCATCGTCAAACCAGCAGAGGACACGCCCCTATCTGCACTCGCTCTGGCACACCTCATCAACCTAGCTGGATTTCCACCGGGTCAGCTGACAAGTTTATACTTTTTTCTGTTTTTTTTTACTTCTTAAAAACGTTTTTTTTTTCGACAAACTAAACAAGCTTTCAAACGTTTTTCTTATAAGTTTTGTTTAAACTCAAATTTAGAGATTTTACTACACAAAAACTGATGCGTGCACCAATATGTTTGAAACATCGCAAGAGAGGCGCACAATCCCTTGCTTGACAAATTTTGGCTCATGTAGGGTTTTTTTGCCAGATTTTCACAAAAAAAAAAATTTTTGTCGCGCTTGTTTAGGTCAACAAAATTGATTTTCCAAGCTCTATTGACATCAACGGAAAAAAAAGGAGCAACAAAACTTTTTTTGGCTTGGAAATTAAAATAGTACATTTCGCGTCTAAGCGCTTCTAGAAAAGTGAAGGGCTGGTCCGCCAAAAATGGGTGTCTTAAGAATAGCACAGGGAGACTGGATATTCAGGCTGCTGAGTTCCTGCAGGGAAAAGAACGTACAACTCCCCCCCCCCTCTCTCTCCAATCTGCAACCCTCCCACACCACCCCACCTACCCATCGCCCCTTTTATTAATTGAACAAGCTGGTAGAATATAATAAAGAGTTCCATTTGGTTGATTGGTTAACTAGGTGTACCAATCAGATCAAGGCATCTGTTGCAGGTGTGTTCAATGTAGTCACGTGCAGTCGTGACAAGATGCGACGGGTGTCTGGGGTGTTGTGTGACAGTCCACTGGTCCGGAAACTCTCATTCACAGGATCCACAGTAGCAGGAAAGGCAAGAAATTAATACGTTTCATTTCTTTAAAAAATCCCCATATATTTATATTATTTAAATTATTACGTCAGTTATCTGAGAATTGAACAAAAAAAAGAAAAACATCATCTCGAGCTCAAATAAAATCACGCCTTTGCTGCCTCCCTAATTTCATATTCGAATTAATTGATGAAAAATAAAAAATCAAACGGCTTTTTCTTTTTTTAATTTCATGACAGCAAAAAAAAAACGATAATGATATGGTGTAAGGGTACCCGGATTTAGGGGTGGGGGCGGCGGATTGGGAGGGGGGTTGCTTTTTAACTAACACCCTGTCAAAAACAACTTGACACCCTGACCAACCAAGGCCCCCTTGAGTACTATTTTCGGCTGTCCGACCCTAAAGTTTTCGAAAGGCGCCAATGTATAATCATTCTGAGAGCGCGTGCGTCAAAAAACGCTGTTTTTTGGTCGAAATCTTCCAAAAAAAGCCCAAAAACGTCATTTTTGGTCTGTTTTTTTTCGCCTAGGGCGAAGAAATTGTGTTCCAAATAGATTCTTCATAGTGATTTCTGCAAGCTCGGAAAAAAATTTGGTCGATTTACAAACAAGTCGACAAATATTTCGAAAACTTTTTGAAAATCCCCAACAGTAAAATCGTAGATCCGCCCCTGTGGTGTAATAACATGAATTTTCCTTTTAACTAATCATATTTGAAAACAGCAATTTTGAAATGTTTCAGTGGTTGTACGAGCGATGCAGTCAAACGGTTAAAAAACTTTCGTTGGAGCTCGGAGGAAACGCAGCCTTTATAGTTTTCGAATCTGCCGATTTAGAAAAAGCTGTTCAAGCATGTACTGACTCCAAGTTCAGAAACGGAGGCCAAACATGCATCTGCGCCAACAGAATTCTAGTTCAGGATTCAATTTACGATCAATTTTGTCAAAAGCTGGAAGAAAAAGTGAAAAATATCAAAATGGGCCCCCCTATCAATTCCAAAAACAGTCAGGGACCCTTGATAAACAAAAGAGCAGTGGGAAAAGTTTCGAGACACGTTGACGACGCAATCGCGCGTGGAGGGGTTCTAAAAATAGGCGGGAAAGTCGACAGATCACTGGGCCCCCTTTATTTTGAGCCGACACTCATTACTGAAGTTCCAAGCGATGCACTTGTACATAGAGAGGAGACATTTGGACCTCTGGCTGCTATAACTAGGTAAATTTGAAAAACCTAGTCGAATTTTTAAATCAAACTTGGTATAAAATCAAAATTGATAAATTGTTCAAAAACAGAATCAATTAGACGGATACTGGCCTATTAGCAGGTGTGTCGATTAGCATGCCCATTTAAAAAATAAAGTTGAATAACGGATAGAGGATCAATTGAGCCACCTCAAAAAATTTTCTCGCTACTCATGTAAATTGAACTTTAGTCGATCAATTGCTTGCGTGCTATGATCACATTAACCATCTACTTGCGTTTGCTGAAGTCGTTTTGTAGCGTCTTACTACTGGGGAGATAGCCCAAATTGTGTCATAACGGGTGGTGGGGGGAAGGGGGGGGGGAGGATTACTCAATGGATCCTGAATAGATTGCTATTTCACGATTTGCTGATACAAATTTGTGACTTTAAACAGCGTGCATTCACCCAAAGTATTAATTGGTGGAAAAGTCTTTTTAAATTCCCCGACGAATCAAGTTAAAGCTTTTTTACTCGTCTGAGTGAACATCTAATAAAAGCAATGCTGATAGCATTCTAAAGGTCATTTATGCTTATTACTACGCCCCTTCGATAATTTTATAACGTATGACAAATAAGACCCCTATTAACCGTTAAAAGCGTGTTATTTTTAAGCATTTAAAAAAACCCACGCAGCTGTAATTGTTCCGATTTTCGAAGAAAAAAGCAAAACATTTATGCTTAGTGTAGTTCTTTTTCTATTCGGTCACTTTTCGATTTTTCAACTAAGCGTTTGAGACAGAAGTTTTTAGAACTATCTGAAAAACTTTGTTGTCTAGCGCCAAAAAGTGAAAAATCATCTGCGATCTTTTTCCTAAAGCTATTGGGGTTAAAAATTGGCCAATGTGAATAATTAACGCGCGATATATTGCGTTCTGACAACACGAGTAATGCGTTTTAAGGCGGATTAATGCCTAACTCCAAATTGAATTGAGGAAGTTATTTGGTCTGGATTTCAGTTACAGACTTAAAATACACCACTTTGTTGTTAAAATCAAGCGTGTGGGGGTAAATTAAAAAAAAAAACTAAACAACCGATTATTTTGTCAATTTTTCTACCAAAATACTTTTAAATTGGCCTTAAAGTGCAGTCGTCGGAATAATCAAGAATTTGCTCCGGTATATGAGCAGTCTTCTTATGCTGAAATTTTCAATTACTTCGATGTCTAATTGAGGGCCGCAGCGATAAGGATGTGTGCATATTAGCATGCAATAATTGCTATAATATGTGGTTGTCAGACAACAAATATCAGCCTATTTTTCTTTTTTATATCAACAATGACTTTGTTTAAGGGAAAGATAGCTCAAATGGTGTCATTGCGGGGGAAGGTAAGGGGGAGGATTACTCAATGGATCCTGAATAGATCGCTATTTCACGATTTCCTTATAAAAATTTGTGATTTTAAACAGCGTGCATTCAGCCAAAGTATGAATTGGTGAAAAAGTCTTTTCAAATTCCCCGACGAATCAAGTTAAAGTTTTTTTACTCGTCTGAGTGAACATCTAATAAAAGCAATGCTGATAGCATTCTAATGGTCATTTATGCTTATTACTACGCCCCTTCGATAATTTTATAACGTATGACAAATAAGACCCCTATTAACCGTTAAAAGCGTGTTATTTTTAAGCATTTAAAAAAACCCACGCAGCTGTAATTGTTCCGATTTTCGAAGAAAAAAGCAAAACATTTATGCTTGGTGTAGTTCTTTTTCTATTCGGTCACTTTTCGATTTTTCAACTAAGCGTTTGAGACAGAAGAGCTATCTGAAAAACTTTGTCTGGCGCCAAAAAAAGAAAAATCATCTGCGATCTTTTTCCTAAAGCTAATGGAGTTAAAAATTGGCAACTGTGAATAATTAACGAGCGATATATTGCGTTCTGACAACACGAGTAATGCGTTTTAAGGCGGATTAATGCCCAACTCCAAATTGAATTGAGGAAGTTATTTGGTCTGGATTTTATTTACAGACTTAAAATACACCACTTTGTAGTTAAAATCAAGCGTGTGGGGGTACAATTTAAAAAAAAACTAAACAATTGATTATTTTGTCAATTTTTCTATCACAAAATTCTTTGGAATTGGCCTTAAAGTGCAGTCGTCGGAATAATCAAGAATTTGCTCCGGTATATGAGCAGTCTTCTTATGCTGAAAACTTAAATTACTTCGATGTTTAATTGAAGGCAGGAGCGATAAGCATGTGTGCATTTTAGCATGCAATAATTACTATAATATGTGGTTGTCGGACAAAAAATATCAGCCTAATTTTCTTTTTTATATCAACAATGACTTAGTTCGTTTAAGGAATCAAAATTTTGTTTTTGATCAATTAATAATTTGGCGAACTGCATGCTGTTCAAAGTTACAATAATGAGTAGTAAATCAAGATGACCGCTCGACTAGCATAAAACTCGACTTGCATAAAATTTTAAAAACATTAAAAACATCGACTAGCATAATTTAATAGCATTATTTCTCAGAAACACAAAACAATAGTATTGCGATCAAATTGAAAGATGCATTTCTGAGAGCTTGAAATTTGAGAACTTGAGCAATCAAAATTAAATTAAATTCCTTTTGGCATGATCAGTCACAACAGGACCAGTAATGGCTTGAACCAAAGACTGATCGCCGCGCAAATTATGAAATAAGCGAAAAAATTGATTGCATCATGATACTCCCACCCTCCTATTGCAACAGGGGGGCCAATTCGTTTAAAGGTACAAACTTTATCGGATCTAACAATTTCCCCCTTTTCTAGAAGGGGGAGGAGATTAAGTAGATCCAAAAATTTGCATATGCTTACCTGTTTATAATTTTTTTAAATCTTGTTAACTATTCCCCGCCCCCTTTCGGGCCTCTTTTTAATTATTCCCCCAATGCATGTATCTAACAGCCATATCTGGATAAAATATGTATTTCAAAAATGTCAAAAACTAATTGGGTTTTCATTTTCGCTTGTTTTTGTTTGTATTACTCACTATTTATATAATACCTACATAAAAATTGAAAATAATTATAATTTCTGAAAATTGTTTTAAACTATTAAAAAGTGACAGCCGAAGTTCAATTTCTAAAAAATCGAAATAGGAGAGTGGGAATAGTTAACAAGATCCTGAGGGCCATATATTGTCATTGAATGTCTGTAATAATTTTAGTTTTGACTAGTTGAATTTCGTATTGTGAGTTTTATGCTAGTCGATACGATTTTCAATTTGTAAACTTTTATGCTAGTCGAGCTTTATGCTAGTCGATGCACCGCCGTAAGTCAACTATGAAACAGCGAAGCGAACGCGTCAACTACATTCTGTTTCATGTGCATGTATATCGATGCACATGCTAATGGGCAGGTTATCAAAACAGCTTGACAAAAAAAAATAATTAAAAAAGTCCTCACGTTGAGTTTGAGTATCTTGGCTGAAAAACGCCTCCAAGAACACAATGACCTTCAAATCGCTATATACTGATGTGACCACTCGTGTTGAGAGAGAAGGAGCTGCTGTATCTTGCGCTTTTTTCCACCCAACTTCGACTACCTCAAAGAAAATTTCGACTACCACTCTTACCTCATAGTTAAGTGTGATATCATAATGAAACCCTTTCCTCATGATTTGGATTCCATAAAAGTAATCAGAAAAGTGGTTGGAGTATCATTTAATAAACCGTTTACTGAAAGAAAAATCACACGAAGAAGAAATTAAAAAGCATATTACAATTTTTTTCAGTTAATTTTTAGTCCTCGTTTTTAATCAACAGAAAGAAAAATCAATTTCGGAACCATTTCGAATTAGGATGGAGTGTGTGAACCGTTTTCTCAGTTGATATATATTTTGCTCTCAGTTGTGAAAAGTAATTTGAATTGTAATCTTTCGAAGCACTTTAAAGTTCATTTAGATCGTTCTAAAAGTTTAAGGTTACCAACATTTGGTTTCGTTCAATTTATATTGAAAACGAACTTGCTATATTATTTTGATCACCTGATTATAGCCTTTGTCTTAAATAACAGCTGAACAATTGGTAAATTTGGAAAGGTTTCATTGCGGTAGACTATCTTCTGTCAATTCTTAAAATCTGCTTTAAACAAAATGCAAATGCATGAGCAAAATATTTGTCCCAAAATGTGACCTTTTCGGGACAAATGTTTCGCCCAATTACTTGCGTTTTATTTAGAGCATATCTTAATGATCAATAGAAGATTGAATAGAAGATAGAACTGAAATAAAACTGAAACCTTTCTACATTTACAGATTGTTCAGCTGTTATTTTAGGTCAAAGTTTATAATCAGCTGATCAAAACAATATGGCAGGTTCAATTCTTAATATAACTTGACCGAAACCAAGTTCAGGTAGCCGTAATCTTTAAGAACGAATTAAATGACCTTTGAAGAGTTATTCGAAAGAATACAATTTAAATTAGTTTAATTAAATATAAATCCAAAAAAAAAGTTGACACGCTTTTATCATCAATTTACAATGACTAGAGGGGAAAACGCATCAAGACAAAACTACAAAAAATTATATAAATTAAATGAAAACTCAGTATAATGTTTTGTCGATTGGTTTTTTATATATTTTTTTTCAGGTTCATCTTCGAGGAGGAGGCAATACAAATAGCCAACAGTGTACAGGCCGGTCTTGCCAGCTATGTCTTCACAAGGAACTATGGCCAGGCCCATAGACTTTCCAAGGCCATAGAAGTGGGCATGCTAGGAATCAATGAGATTTCGATCACACCAGAGCAAGCGCCCTTTGGAGGGATCAAAGAGTCGGGATTGGGACGAGAGGGGTCAGTTCATGGAATAGAGGAGTACCAGGAAATCAAGTACTTGAACTTCAACATGGCAGCATTTTTGTAAAATTAACTGTATTTCAATCAAATTTCTGTAGAAATATTCAAAATTCAAAAATTATGAGTTTGTAGAACATGTTTTTAAAATTGAATGACAAGGCATTAGAAAACTTCTGACTCATTTTGGAAAACTTCTGACTTAAGATACCGAGACAAAAAAAAATTTTCAATTAGACATCATTCTCGACTTAAAAAAAGGTGCAATGCAAACATTCGGTACAGCTTTGTGCACATCAGAAAGACAATAAAAAAGTATTAAATCCTTGTCTAGAACTGTTGAAATAACAAAACATCCCAATTTTAAGCATCAAGTCAGCTCTTGAATTTAAAAACAAAATCACTTAGCATAGTAGTAGGGCTTTCACTGTAAGACTATCAAAAAGAACATGAGTTCAATTCAATGCCCTACCATGGTGCTGATTAATAGTGTGTAAAAACTAGCTCTCACTTGACCTCTAGCTGCAGGTCTTACAAAGCTTGACCGGTTTCGGCAGCATATAGTGGTACCATGTGGAAGTTCTATACGCATAAAAACAGCCCCGAGTAGCAAATTAAGAGCTTCGCTCAACAAAATAAAGACAGGCCTGATAGACTTTCATGGATCATCTGCGCATCGCAAAAACCAAAACTATTATTGAAATTAAAATGCATTGTGGTGCTCCGGTAGTGATGTTGCCCTGAAATCATATGATTGTTGGTTCCAATTGCACGTGCATCACACTTTGCAAGGTGAGCTCTTTCTAGTAAGTCATAGCTTAATGGGCGCTGTTCATATACGCTCTAGTCAACTGAAATATTTCACTTCCGGGTTAGGCCTCCGGGCTGGTAGACTTAAATGAAACCATAGTATGGTCTTACAAAAGGAACAAACCACAACAGAAAAAGCAAGCAAAATATCACAATACATATTAACAAAATTTCGCAAAAAGTTCCAGCTACTTCATAACGTTACGAGTTGTCGTAATTGAAGTAGAGCCAGTTTTAGAAAGTTTCGCATAATAAAACAAGAATGAAGAAAACAAGGTACCAGTTTTATTCAGACAAACCTTTCCATATAGGACAGTACTGAAGATTTAAGCCTGTCAAGAACAGTTCATTTTGAATTTGAAGCTTCAATTAATTTCAAACAACTGGACAAAAATGACCATTGGACTAATAATTAAATAGACTTGAAACTAAACACTGAGACGAAGCGGAGCTTCGTATCACTTACAAAACAACAAAAGCGTAGCAATGCAAACTACCATATGGAAAGTGAGATTGAAATTACTAATTCGAAGATGGACACTAGTGAGAACTAGAGTTCATGTGAGAACAGAAACATAACCACTAGCATTAAACAAACTTAGTATTTTCCAAGCGTTCATTAGGCCGACAACACGTGGCTAGACGCCCATTGATCCAAAATAAAAAAAAAGGCCGAATAAAGTTTTTGTCTTAGAAAATTTTGAGCAATTCAATTGTTTGAACTTTTACCTTTTGAAATGGTACCGACCTGATTTATTTTAAACAAAAAAATCTGAAGCCGAAATTATGTAGGCCAAACAAACTTTTTAAGCAAAAAAGCTACAAAAAAAACGGAAATTAAACACGTCAGGGTTAGTAGATTCACAGAGTACAGGAGTTAATCAACGACACGCGAGACTACAATAAAACCTTTTAGTGCTAAAAAACCGAGGTGTGCCAACTAAGCCAACAAAAAATAAGCCGATAAATTATAGTCCCACTGAGGAGTTAATTTTCCCGGAAAAAATTTAACTTCGGACACTTACAAAGTACAGCAGTTAATGAACGACATGCGAGACTAAAATGAAAACAACTTACCTTGCAAACAACCGCGGTGTGCCGAATAAGCCAACAAAATATAAGCCGACAAAGTATAGTCCGACTGAATTATTAATTTATCCCGGAAAAAAAATAATTTCGGACATTGAAAAAACAAGGTGCGAACGGGACTCGATCCCCAGACCAAAGTGTGCAAGTGCAACTGCATTACATCTAGCCGAAGTGAGATGGGGCCTGACATTTGCTAAAGTTTGATAATAAATCAAGCTCAGTTTCTGACAAGTTTGTACGAAATGTTGTTTACGGGTCTTAAAAATACATTAAGACTGCACAAAAAAGATTTTAAATTATTACCAGATCACCATTGGGGAAACTTCAAAAATTTGAGCATCAAACCAGTGATTTAAAACGCTTGTGATGAAAGATAAAACTAAAGAAAACCTGAATCATTGAAAAATATAGGTGGCAAAAAGTAGAATCTAGGTAGACGCCATTTATGCCGAGGATCTCCGAAAAAAAAATTACGAATTTTTTTTCTACAGTTCAGGTTAGATGCTGCTATAGGTACATTAAAATTGGGTTAAATAACTTATTAGAAGCCAGTAAAAGAAAGTTTAGTCGAAAGATGTTGAAAAAGTCAAGTGAGAACAGAAACATAACCACTAGCATTAAGCAAGCTGTTAGTATTTTCCGAGCGTTCATTGGGCCGTTAACACGTGGCTAGACGCCCAGTGATCAAAAATAAAAAATTCTTGAAGAAAATTTTTGTCATAGTAAATTTTGTGCAATTCAATTGTTTGAATTTCTACCTTTTAGAATGGAACCGAACTGATTTATTTTAAGCAAAAAAAAATCTTAAGCCGAAATCATTTAGGCCAAACAAACTTTTTAAGCAAAAAAGCTACAAAAAAAACAGAAAATAAGCCAGTCAGGGTTAGTAGATTTACAGAGTACATGAGTTAATCAACGACACGCGAGACTACAATAAAACAGTTTAGTGCTTAAAAACCGCTGTGCCAACTAAGCCAACAAAATTTAAGCCGACAAATTATAGTCCCACTGACGAATTAATTTTTCCCGGAAGAAAATTAATTTCGGACACTGAAAAAATCAAGGTGCGGACGGGACTCGAACCCCAGACCAAAGGGTGCAAACGCAACTGCATTACCTCTAGCCGAAGTGAGATGGGGCCTGGCATTTGCTAAGGTTCGATAATAAATCAAGATCTGTTTCTTACAAATTTGTAAGAAATGCTGTTTATGGGGAAAAGTTTAAATCCTGATTACAAGAAACTTTCTCTCGCAAGTGTTGAAAATACATTAAAACTGAACAAAAAAATTTTTATATTATCAGATCACCATTGGGGAAAAATTCTTTAAAATTGAGTTAAATAACTTATTAGAAGCCAGTAAAAGGAAGTTTAATCGACAGATGTTGTAAAGGTAACAAAGTTGTTTAAAGGGGAAAAAGTCTAGCTCCCTATTTAAGACACCTGCTAATGCAAGCGAAATCAACGATAACTAAGCAAAGACGAAATCAACGATAATTTTAGTGGTTTGCAGACGAGTAAATTAGCCACACAAAGGTTAAAGCGTTTCAAATTAAGCCTTAAGTAACACAGAAATGGAATATTTTCATGTGAGGGAACTTATGACACCGGATTGAATCGTCCAATCGACATTTTGTTTCTTGGCGTGTAGACCACAAGAATTTTCAGAAAAAAATTTAACATGAAAACAAAACTGGCTGCTCACAAGCAAGTTAAGACCTTATATCCACCAGGGAAATGACCAATATAAGAGTTGTTCGCCTCAGAGCTAAACGCTCTTGCACCTCTGAATATTGAGAAATACGGGCAATTTTTTGATTTCTCGGGCGTGGAAAATGTTGTCTAAGCCTTGCAAGCAACTAGCACGAATAATGGCGGCTTCAAACTGTCAAAAAAGAGGCCTATGTAATAATAATTAATAAACTAACTATTCTAAATTTTAACAAAAATTTATAATTGAAATTATTTCATGGGAAACAAGTCCAACCTATGTGTCTCATAATGATACCAGTCTTTATTTGCTCGCACGTACAGATGACTAGCGTTCCCAATTTCTGTCTGTTTCAAAATTTTTCCTTTACAGAACTTTGCCTTGAGTTTCATTTTCGGTAACTTTTGCGACAAATTGTTCGCAAAATGTTCTCTTTTCATTGCTTCGAGTTTCTCTTTTGTGAACAAATTCGATCCGATTTTTTCCGAAAGGTAGAACAAATCTGTGAAAAAATCGTGAAAAGATTTTTCATCCGATTTTTTCACGTTTACCGATACGAACTTCAAGCAGCTGGAACTGTACACGTCTTTTGATAATGTAAATGGTTCACACGTAATCAGATCCGTTTCTGAAGTGTCCAAATACCGAATGTTGGGACAAAGATGGAGTAACGCACAAACATTGAAAGTTGAAGTCTCGCTGCATTTTAGAACAGTAATATTTGTCAGGAAGTCTTCTTTAAAACGAGCCAAGTTTTCAAGTTTCACTTTTTCCAGCTCAATTTCTAATTTTTGAGCAGATTGCGGTAAATTGTCCAGGACAGAATGCCAGCTTTTAGAGATATTCGTTGTATTACTAATGATACACTTGATTTTTTTAAATTTTCGATTGATATTTAGAACTTTCGAGCCAAATGGCGAAGAAGGGAAATTCTTGAATTCGACCGTAAGATTTTTTAGTTTCGTAAGAATATCCCCATTGAAAATATCTCGAAGCAGACCAATGCATGCTTCGGACGGCAGGTGTTTGTGGAGTTTCAAATGTAGTGATTGCAGGCTCTGTTCTTGTGAGCGGAGGAACCTTTTCAAGGGTTCTTGTTCTGTGAGAGTAGAATTTGTGAAGTGTTTCATCGTCTTGGTCTCGCAGCTCCTAAACACATAAAAACTGGGAGCATATCTACGAAATACTTCCGAGCATTTAGCGTATAGCTCGACAAACTCTCTAATAACCGATCAGCCGAAACGATTGTTTCTTTTTTGCCAAACTAGTTTTTTTTTCACCAAACGACTATCAGCTCTTTTTGGATTAGATTAATACTCGGGTTATCTTGATTATGAACCGATTGAAATTAAAGTTTGATTTTTTGACTGGGTTTTTTTTTCGAGCCTACGCCTCCATTATGGTGCACATATTCTAAATGTTCTCGAACCAGAGGATTGCGATACGCTACGCAGTAAATATTCAGTTTGCAAATAAGTACAGATCCTGTCCGGGCTCGAACTAGACCTCTGTCGTGGCAAACATGAGCATTGCATCTCGGCCACATTAATATTTTGAATGTGTTTTAAGTGTACGGCAAACTAAAAAAAATGATAAGTAATTCTGCTTCGCCGTAAATTTTTCATCGTAAAAAAATTGCCAAATCTATTGGCAAACGTAAATATTACTAGAAAAACTTTAATCCTCGTAATAGCTTTACCAATTTTTGTTCCGACGGCATTTCAAGCCCTCAGAAAAACCTGTGAATTGTGTGAGTTTCATGGATCTGGTCATACATTAACGACCGTAGAATATATTTCCAAAAATCTTTTTGAAAGAAGGTTAATTTGAAGAAACCGCGTGTTTTTTTTTTTCAACCAGTGTTTGTGAAGTTAAAATAAATTTGGAAATTTAAATAATAGAAAGAACATTTTAGCCGAAAATCCAAAATTTTTGGAAGAAAAATTACTATAAACTAATTCAATTTAAAATAATTGCTCGTATGGCTAGTGGTTGAATAATTAATTCTGCCGGAGTTGTTAACAGGAAAAAAAATCTTGTTTTCGATTATAAAACACTTGCGATCTCAATTTCAATTGTCCTTCTATCGAGATAAATTCATACCTTAGGACAAGTGCGGAATCCTGCTCTTTAAAATCAGCCGGGAGTTTCAGACTATTCAACATTCGAAAGCCAGCCAGCCAGCCAGACACAAGATGCGAACTTCTGATTCTGAACTGAGAAGACTCTTCAACGTCCAGAGACTCCAGCGAAGGAAAGAAGTAAATGAGCGCCATTATCACAGCATCATCAATTCCAAACCAGCCACTTAGTTTAAGGCTACTAACTAGGAAAAACTTGGAAATATCTTTCGGTATTGTGAATTGAGGCTTGAACAATGTGTTGCTGTTATCTATACAGTGTAAGGTAACGTCTTTGAGATAAGGAAGATAATTGAACAAGCCGAGAATCGAACGCATGAACATAGCTTCATCATCCGGGTCCAGATCACGAAATACCAGGGTGCATTTTGTGCACAGCTTACGCGTGAGATCATAAAGGCGAAAACATGTGAGAGAAAGCGAGTAGATGTCGTCGAAATCGTGCAGGAGTGAAATGATGTCAACTAAGATATTGTCGGGGAAGGTTTGTAACATTGCCCTGAAAGAACAGAAGAACCCTATGGTGCAAAATTAAGTCACAAGAAATCGCATCGCGTTTAAGTTCGGCAAGCTAAAAGATCTAAGAACAGCTAAGGTAGGACCCGGTTCAATTCCCGATTGTTATGAAAAAATTTTAGACCAGAAATCTTTTTTAAAATCTTTTAATCGACGAATTTAAATAAATCATCGGCACATTTAAAACAATACACCATGAAATGGTTTTTCATTACAAAAAAAACCGAGGCAAAGCTGAGCTTCGGACCTCTTGCAACAAAGCGGAAAATTCCTGCGCAAATACTCATGCCAAAAAAAAACGTTTAAAATTCAAAACTTACGAAAAATATTTCAAAAATTCAAAAAACGTAATAAAACCATCATAAAAAGCAAATTTCAGATGAAGGAATCCAGGATGCAGGAGATGAGTCCTGTGAACAATTATTAAAGGGTAGTACCCGATTGCAATACCCTTGCTGATCGCAAGGGTAATTATGCTCAGGAACATTTCAAATCAAGCATGTTAACTGAAATTGATGCAGAAATTTTAGTTGCTTGTAGGCTATCGAAATCATTTTTAGATAAGGTTTTTTTTTATTTTAGGTACTCGAGTTAAAAAATTCTTCCAAAACAACAGTTTTGATGACTAAAAAATTCTTCAAAACCTAGAAAAACTCCCCAATTTTTCTTGTAAAGCTTAAAAATATATAGATATTCTCGCTTATAAGATTCATATATTCTCCGCAAACTTAATATTAGGCTTCAGAAATGAAGCTTAGTTGAAATTGAACAGCTATAAATTTGTGATGCAATTATTATTTAGCTGCAAAAATTCAGCGGAATTATAAATACAAAACTTTCGAATGCTTTTTAGACATATTCCGCAACACCAAAGGTTCCCATCAAAACAGCATCTATGAATTAAAAATGAACCAACCAGAGGTGTAAAAATATCGATATAGATTATATTGCGACCTTAAAATAGATAATCGATTATTCTTACCAGTCGCAATAGATTATTGCAATAATCTTTCGAATATTGTTGAGAAAAATAGATTATTGTTTACAAAGAAGCTGAACTTTATTGTTTAAATTACAAGCATATCGCAAACAAATTAAACAACTTCATTTTCAGCAAAAATGTCCCAAAATCAATTGTTGACACGGAAGAATAACTGTGATTCGACGTTCACATGATCAATCCTTCTGCGCTAATCGTCGAATGTACCACGTTTCGCCCCACACACATTTCGCCCCTCTTAAATCTAGTGGCACATTTCGCCCCTCGCACATTTCGTCCTCGCACGTTTCGCCCCTAACTTATTACAGTTATTTAACGCCGCTTTCTTAATGTACATTTTAGGGGCGAAACGTGCCAGTAATTTATGGGGGGCGAAATGTGTGTGGGGCGAAATGTGCCACTAGATTTAAGAGGGGCGAAATGTGTGAATACCATAATCGTCGAATACCATCTTCACCTGGCTGTATAGGCGTTCACACGTATTTGACGTAGCTGGTATCGCATTCCATATGATTAGCTCTGATTGGTTGAAAAAGATTACATACCTCAGCAATACAGCGAAGTGAAGAGAACAAAAGTTGTTTAGAATTTCACCAGAATTCATATGGTGCATTTTTTGCTCCGAAAATCGCAACCAAAATTTTACCCCAAAAATGGGTCATTTTGGCTTTTTTCAATTAATCAAGAATTACGCGGAAACTACTTTGTTAATTGATAAGAAAATTTTATCACAGGAAGCCTCTTACGCAGCTCAATAAAGTTTAATAAGGGTTAAATCTCCAAAAACCAGTATAAGAGAAAAAATTTTCACTTGATAGTCAATAAATTTTAAACAATTTGCCCAAACTTTTGGAGATTTAACCCTTCTTAAACTTTGTTGAGCTGCGTAAGAGGCTTCCTGTGATATAATTTTCTTGTCAATTAACAAATTAGTTTTTGCGTAATTCTTGATTAATTGAAAAAAGCCAAAATAACCCATTTTTGGGGTAAAATTTTTGTTGAGAATTTCGAAGAAAAAATGGCACCATATTAATTCTGGTGAAATTCTAAGCAACTTTTGTTCTCTTCACTTTTTGTCTAATCTTAACCCAATTTGAGAAAAACGCGTTTTAATTTTCAAGTTTTGTTCGATTTGTCCGGATAATTTAAATCAGCACTGTAGTTTATTGTATTGTGCAGCGTTATTCAATAGATTATCGATATATTTTTTGCGATAATCTAGGTTAACAATAATCTTTTTTAAACTCCAGAAGCCAACAGATCTGCAATCTGTATATTTAAGCAAATTAGTTGATGGACACTGGAAAAGATGGTTTAGAGGCAAAATACAACTACCTACAATTATGCTTTAGTGGGCATATAACTGCTCTATTGTAAATAGAAAGCTCTAAGTGGTAAAGTATGCTCTTGTTAGTTAACTATATTGTGCATACTTTACCGTGCTTTACTTAGCTGGACCAGCAAATTAGGCGATACTTAAAAAAACGTAATTTATTTAGACGATAACTTTTTTTTTACAAAACTGACGTTTTTCTGCTTATGATGAACTAATACAAAAAATTTAACTTAGAAATTTTTCATATAAATGGACTATCAACTATTAAGTTGAACGCGATACAACAAGTTTAAGTTTAAAATGGCATGAGCTCAAGGAGTATCAAAGGGGATTCCAAACGATAAAAAAAAGGAAAAGGATTAAAATTGAAAAGAGAAACAATGTTAAGTGGAAAAAACTTTCGCAAAAATTACGTTTTTCATGTTAAAACTTTTTAAATATTTTTTAAAGAGAGTCCAGGTGGGCTTGACTTTAAGCGTTCATAAACTTATTATCAGCGTCTTATCAATCTTAGTAATAGAAACAAAAGGTTAAGAAAATAAAATATTAAAGACAACAAAATGCAAGCCGACGAAATTAAAGACGCCACACAATACGCTGAAATACAATCAAAAAATTTCGGCAAAAAAATCTCATCGGAGAAAACTGCATGTACCTCTTACATAGTATCCATAAGTGCTGTTTATAGTGTGTGCAAAGTGGCATAAACAATTCGTAAGCAAAACCACTACAGCTTACGTCAACATCCATGAAGCCGAAAAATAATCAGCAAAAAAAAGAATATCGAGTATCTATAATTTTACAAACAATCTCAAGAACTCCAGATGTATCATTCACCTGTAATTAGTAGCATAGGATCAATGAAATAGCATAAGATTTGTTTAACAAAATTCAACTGATTTTGTCGAACAGCTTCTAATCCGAATAAAAAGCCTAAATTCTAATTGGATAGCGCTAGCTCAACCTCAAGCGTACTAACACATTGAAAAACTAGTCGATATTCATAGATTTGAGTGACATACGTCATAGACAAAAAAGTCTACACGCATGAGCAGCAAACAATTAATTTTCAAAACCAATTCCCAACCAGAGACTGATCAAATACTTAAGTCGTTATACAAGCATTCGCAATAGATAACTAGCAAAAATCGGCTACGGAAACTTTCAGAAAAGCACTTTAATTGCGATGAAAAAACTTCCAAAAAATGGCAAACACTGAGCGACGCCCACAATTTTCCTCGTACAGAATGTACTTGCAGCGGAACAAACATTCGCTACTTTCCAATACCGCGTTTAAAATTCTTGCTTTTTAGAGTTCTTGCTTTTATTTAAATGTTGCAAGCTGTATACTTTTCTTGCTGTGAATTGTAGCGGTACCACTTCTTGTTGGGAACCCCTCAAGCGCAAAGGACCCAATTCTCGAAAAGTTTGACAGCCAATCAGAATTCATTGTACAATAATTCGAAGAAAATAAGCAATATAATCAGTCAGTTTTGTCCCGCTGTAGAGGCACTGATTAAATGAGATGTTTTTGCGCATGAAAAACTGACAATTTAACGGGCAATGATTGAACGAGAATTTTTGCGCGTTCGGTCCAGAGAGCATGAAAATAGCCCCCCTTTTGTTGGCAATTTGAATGACTCACCTGCCATCATTTCTCGTGTAGTAACGCCTACGCATTTGCAATCTCGATCTAATCGAACAAGTCGAGTAGTCCATTCCTTTTTAAAATATTTTGTAGCTTCCGTTTATTTCCCAAGCTCGAAACTTATCTAACTCGTCCGAACAATTCAATTATTTTGATAAATAAATTATTGTCAGATCAACAAAACGTTTTGCGTCAGAGACAGTTAAATTAAGATCACCTGCAAAACCAAATATCTTAGATATTTATTAAACAATTGATCAACCTAAAATACATTCCTTTCTGCAACCAGAAAAATAACGTACGTCATCATGAATCAAAGTTCAAATAATCTCTGACGTAGCTAAGACCAAAAATTGCCTTTTATGCACCCGCAAATCTGTTTTTGTTCAGCCAATGAGCGGACGTGGCTGGAATTAAATATCGAAGGGTGGCTTTTTTCCCGACTAATTTTTACTACCCTAAGGAAAGCGCGTAAGAAGGTCAAGTCTGCTATCAAATCAAGCCCGATTAGCCGTGATTCGGATTCCGTAACATTCAAAAACGTCTCTCGTGTGTCGAGAACATCTGATGTTCATATTTTTTCAATTCTTGCTCAAATTTAGCCAAGAGATGCTGAAAATAGCTGTTATACACAGAGCATCTATGCGGTCATTTATATGATATAAACACAAAATATATATGTCGGCTTTGTGGCCTTATAACATTTTTTCATATTAAAACTCAAAACAGTTTTGTACCTCCTCCGCTTGGAAACATACAAACAAGAAATTTTAGCTCATCAAACGACGCAATAAGACGCCACAAAGCTGATATAGTTTAAGCCAAAACCTTAAAAACAAAAAACTAGACCGAATAAACAAAAAAAAATTAAAACAAAAGAAAAACAGAAGTTACACTTAAATCGGAGTTAGTAATTTTACAACCACCATTAAAAAAAAAACAAATTTCGAATGGAACGGGCGTTTAAACTGCAGTCATATTAAAGAAAGTAAAGT